AACTCAATCCCAACCACCACTATGACCTAGTCATCTTCATGTAACTCAATCCCAACCACCACTAAGACCTAGTCATCTTTCATGTAACTCATCCCAACTACCACTAAGACCAAGTAATCTTTCATGTAACTCAATCCCAACTACCACTAATGCCTGGTCATCTTTCATGTAACTCAATCCCAACTACCACTCAGACCTAGTCATCTTTCATGTAACTCAATCCCAACTACCACTAATGCCTGGTCATCTTTCATGTAACTCAATCCCAACTACCACTAAGACCTAGTCATCTTTCATGTAACTCAATCCCCACCACCACTAAGACCTAGTCATCTTTCATATAACTCAATCCCAGCCACCACTAAGACCTAGTCATCTTTCATGTAACTCAATCCCAACTACCACTAAGACCAAGTCACCTTTCATGTAACTCAATCCCAACTACCACTAAAGCCTGGTCATCTTTCATGTAACTTAATCCCAACTACCACTAAGACCTAGTCATCTTTCATGTAACTCAATCCCAACTACCACTAAAACCTAGTCATCTTTCATGTAACTCAATCCCAACTACCACTAAAGCCTGGTCATCTTTCATGTAACTTAATCCCAACTACCACTAAGACCTAGTCATCTTTCATGTAACTCAATTCCCACTACCACTAAAACTTAGTCATCTTTCATGTAACTCAATCCCAACTACCACAAAGACCTAGTCATCTTTCATGTTACTCAATTCCCACCACCACTAAGACCTAGTCATCTTTCATATAACTCAATCCCAACTACCACTAAAACCTAGTCATCTTTCATGTTACTCAATTCCCACCACCACTAAGACCTAGTCATCTTTCATATAACTCAATCCCAACCACCACTAAGACCTAGTCATCTTTCATGTAACTCAATCCCAACTACCACTAAAGCCTGATCATCTTTCATGTAACTTAATCCCAACTACCACTAAGACCTAGTCATCTTTCATGTAACTCAATTTCCACTACCACTAAAACCTAGTCATCTTTCATGTAACTCAATCCCTACTACCACTAAAACCTAGTCATCTTTCATGTAACTCAATCCCAACTACCACTAAGACCTAGTCATCTTTCATGT